GCCAAGTAGTCTCTTTCAGAGGTTTTATCTGCTTTATGATATTGGTAGTAGTCCAAGAAATTAGAGATGTAATGACAGAGCAAACACTGCAATTTATATGTTTTATGAGAAGAGTCACAAACCCCAGAGAGGTTATCACATTCTACTCTTTCTTCCCAATGTTTTGTACTGGTAGAATCCCAGAGAGCATAAAATATTTTCCTGAAAGTCCAGTTTTGTCCCATCACTTTCCTGCAACACTGATAAAGGATGTAACAGTGGTTAAGCTGTAAAGCTTCTTGGGGATTTAAATTGTAATCCGGAAATGCGGAAAAAAATTTGAAAGCATGTGATGTGTTCCACTACAAGCTAATGAGAAATAGTACACCTGGGAAATGAAGTTTTATTTAACTAAATAATGAGAAGCATGGCCCAAAACAATCCAGAACCAGTTTAAGATAGTTCACCCATTGATGACAATGTGTGTTTTATACCATTCTCTAACCTGGAGCACCTACCAGGTGACCTCCAGGAAAAAAAGCTACTGGGAATGGATCACCAGTCAGATTAAATGTCCTTGTAGGCCACAAACTGAGGATGACTCATGTAAGGAAATTATTGCTTATCCTCAGAGAATTCTTCCACTTGATGGATACCCATGTGTGAGACATTTTTCTTATCTGCTCTTTCATGGCTCCTCCTGCCACGGCTGTGGAGATTTGAAGGTCCCAGGTGGAGGGGTAGTGTTTGTTCCACCAGTGAGCATCCAGAGATCACCTTAATCCAACCTCTCAGGGCTCAGCCTGCAGTGAAGCTTTGAAAAGCTGTAGTATTCTTTCTAACTGCTAGGGAAATTTTTTAGGTTATACAGTTTTCAAAAACAGGGACTTGGTGTTCCTGGAGATGAGGCTGAGGAAAGCAGTTTCATGGAGATGTAAAATGGCTGTGTATTCTTTACAGTTGCATATTGTTTAATGGAAAAATAAACTGAAGACTTCTGTGTTATATAGCTTCTCACTCAGGAATAATGTATCTATCACCTGTTTTTGTTTTCTGTTCACAAAATCTTTTCTTCCCTGTCTGAGGGAAATGCAGTGTCTTATGATTCAAAGTTTGGAATGAAAACAAAACCACAAAACCTTTTCTTCCCTGTCTGAGGGAAATGCAGTGTCTTATGATTCAAAGTTTACTTAAAAAAAAAGGTATTTTCCCCAGAATTTTTGACTAAGTTCAGTGGAAGTTTGTGATCCATGAGAACTGAAATTCAAATATCCAGCGGGCTGTTCTGTAGCTGGAAACGAGCAGGATCTCTGTTAAAACATGGAAACAAAGCTGTGGCAGTGAACACAGTTCAGTGTTGAGGAAAAAGGAGTTAGAAAATGATCTGAAGGGAATCAAGCATGCTGCTGCTTAATGTTCCAGCCTTTAAACATAATCTAGTGGTGTAGGAACTGCCAAGGAAGGCCAGACCAGTCTGGTGTGGGTTATCCATGAGCTGGTCTCTTTTGAGGCTTTATGCTTCAGAAGAGGGTACAGAAGAGCCCCACAGCTGTAGTGAAAGGTTTGGATGAGGTGCTGTTTCTTTGTGAACAAGGGATGGAATAGGGAGCCAAGCATTGCAGGCAGGTTTGAATTTTCAATTTGAGTATGCAAAATCCTGGAGGAGCGTTCAAACCCATGTAAAAAAAATTACAAAAGAGAAAGTAAAAAAACCCAAATGAAACAAAAAGCCCCTCAATATAATCTTATTGTCTCAAGCTTTTGATAGCAATTAGGATAAAACCAGAAGTCTTGACTACTAATAATGTTTTAATCCTGCTTTGCAGCTATTCCCTGTGTTGTGGGGGAGTGGAGTCATTGGAGTGGCTGTGCAGAACAATGCCATCCCGGGCTGCGGGTCCGCAGGCGCTACGTACAACAGGAACCTAAAAATGGTGGGGAACCGTGTCCAGCTCTGGAGGAGAAGGCTGGCTGCCTGGAATACCTGACTTACCAGGGGGAGGACTGCGGCCATGAACATGGTATTCTCAATTTCATCTCTCTGCTGTGTATTGTCTCCATCACAGCCAACATAAATTTTACTGTCAATGAGTAGCAAAAAACCAAACAACTATCTGCAGTTTGCTGGTTAAAATTATAATTTAGAACTTTCTACTGTCATATTGGTTTTTATTCAATATTTTTTTTTCTAATCTGACTTTTCTTAATTTCTGTTAAGCAAACAAATAAGCTGTGTGTATTCCTTCAGTTGGATCTAAGTATCAAGTTATCTCTGTATGAAGTTAGAACACAAATTCAGTATGAAACAGGAAACAGTACTCCTTGTGGGATTCCACTACATCCTATTTCCTCACTGGCTAGATGGCATGCATTATTAATTTTTTTTTCTGAATAAAGAGAGCTTAGCTGTAGGAAGTGGGGTTGAGGTCCAATTTTGCCAACATTTTATCACTTTTTCAATAAAGTGAGCCAGCACTGCCATCCACAAGCTCCTGATTCATCACCCACTGTTACAGTAATTGAAATATGACTCAGCTGTGCCTTGCTGTTCTACCATAACTGTTTTTTTCCTCAGTCCCTGCTTTCATAACTACCTCTGAATATGGTAAAGAAAGAAAAAGACGAGCAGCATCTTCCCTCCAGCCTTCAGACAAAGAAGCAGCAGGGTAATCTATTTATCATATGTATGTAGGTCATCTTGTTCAGTAGAAAACAGCTGTCTACAGAGAAAATTGTAATTAAATTTGCAATAATTAAACAATAAGCTATAGCTTGTACTGGTTTTCTCTCCCGCAGTTTCTTTGCATGTTCTAGATGTTGTTTATTACTTACTAATTGTCCTGAATTAGACATTGGGATCATGGCAGATCTGATGATAGCTGCTTTTGAAAGCCAGCAGTAAACAATGCTAAAACAAAGCTGAATGTATCCTAAGTCTGAGAAATTAGATGTAGGTCTCTGAAAAATGTGGGCTGAATGGGATTGCTGAATGGGATTGGTCTCAAGATACCTTTTTTTTTTTAAACTGTTTGACACAAGCACTAAGAATTTTGTTTAGTTACCAGTAGAGATGGTAATGAAGTTTAAATTAGGCTGTTACTGGGTCTGTAATGCTCATAATGTTTTGTCCTGTGCTATTTTTCCTAGAACAATAAAACTCATTGATATTCTTAGTCTCTTTTCCATTTTTTCCAGCAGCATAGAAGAAAAAATATGGGTTACTGAGATCTGTTTTTCAAAATAATTTTCAAAATAATTTAATAATACAGAATGCTACCAGAAAGTGCATAATACAGAATGCTACCAGAAAGTGAGATTATACAAAAACCACTGGACTGGGGCATAGAATGAGAAACAGTTTGCATAATGTTTTTAAGAATCCACTGATTGGGTTAAGGTCAGGAGATTTGTTAGCAACGATGATGTCTAACTTGCATTTCACAAACACCACCCTTACAATATGTAAATCCATTCAAAGTGCCTACTTAGCTCATGCTTTATCTCATAATTTGTTTCTTTCCCTTCTGAGCAGATACTGCGTGGAGTTCAGGACGGAGTCTCTTTCCCCGCACTGTGCTTTGGAGACACGTCCGTTCGCGCGCTGGATGCAGTACCTGCGCGAGGGACACACCGTGTGTGTCACCTGCCAGCCACCAGCCATGAGCACGGCCACGCGGCGCTGCTCCGGAGATGGCCACAACGCACATGGGTAAACCAGAACCCAGCACAGGAGTTTAAACTTCTCAAGATCTCGTTAAAAGCTGCATTTAATGTATCTAAAAGATGGAATAGCTCAAATCATTTGTAGAGCTCAGAAGGTTTTATCCATTTATTTGTCACAGAAATTGCTTTTAAAACCTAGATAAAATTGGGAAGTCATTTCAGTATAAGAGTTTAATGCTTTATTCACTATTGTGAAGAAGTGGTGGAATTTGTGTAGTGGAAGAGGACTTTTTATAGCTGTGGGCACTTTCACTTGGAAAGGGAATTTCCTGCCATAGTCCAAATCTGATTGCAGATTTAACAGTGGTGGATTGGTACTCCCCTCAAGCATATATACCTGGTTTTTAGAAAAGTAATTGTGAAAGTAGATATTTATTATTCAGAACTGATTTTTATTTGATCCATACATTTATTAATATGCATACTACTTAATACCTGTACAACCAGCTACTCAACCCACCATTCTGGATATTCTACTTCGGAATATAATGTCTGCTCCAGAAAGCATTTTAAGAGCTAGATGAGTTTAATAAAGTCTTACATGATTAAACAAATCCAATCTTCTAACATTTTATACAACACAATCCAGTAACACTAAATACACAGCTTTTACTCTTCTAATTTCATATTTATTGTTTCATTTCAGAGATAAAATCTTACACTGGGAAGCAATTGGCAACTCTCAGTGCCAAGGAACCTGGAAGAAGATCCGGCAACTGGAACACTGTTCCTGTCCCCTGGTGCATAGTTTTATTTTTACATAAAAGTTTAAAAGACCTTTAAAATTGCAACAAAAAGACTAAGAAAATTAACACCAATGCCAAGAAACCTATATATTTCTGCTGCATTTTCTGGAGCCTTAACAAATTTTAAATGAGTCAGGACTTTGTCAGAATCATTTCAGGAAATTCTCTCTGCCTTAATGCAAAATGCTAAGACTGACCTCTGTATTAGAACAGTAGAAGCATGTTACCATGTTTCTCATTTCTAATTAAAGAGCTAATGTTTCTAACCGTAGTAGTTGCTTTCCTTAAGTTCTCCAGCTTTACTGGCCCTAGCCCCATCTCCAGGCAATGTTCCTACTCAGTAGTGCACCAGCCAAATATTTTCAAGTCTGAGAATAGTCACTGTCAACATTTAAGAGCAAGGGTGAATAAAAATCAAGTTTTTGAAAGCTAAAACTGATTTCAGTTTAGGTACTTTGTTCCTCTCCAGTATCATCTAGACAATTTTTTACACTATAATTGTGTAAACATTCTTCCTCTACACAGCAGTTTTCACATTCAGCCACCTTTATGAAGACATAGCCCTAGTCAGCTTTGTTAAGGAATTGGTCTCCTCAGAACTTCATATTAGTAATAGACAGTGTAACTTTTCTGGCAGATGAACCTAGACGAGTCTTTTGTAACTAAGGCCTTGGCTAAGAGTAAAAAAATTAACTAGTTAAAATTGCTCATCTACAATGATTAGTATAGGAACCTGCAACATCTGAGCGCTGGCAAGAGTGCTATGCAGGTTGAGAAAATTTCCTGTTAAGACAGTCAGCACTTCCATGCAACATAAAGGCTTCCTGGAAGAAGCCATTGAGTGTCTTGGCAAGAATGAGGAAGGTGATCTGCTTGAGGTTCTGTCCACAATAAGAATGTGTTGTGAAACCAGCCTTTGAACTGCATGTTACCATTTTAATGTAATGAAAGCAAGCCTCCAAAACAGAAAGCAGTGATTATCTTAATACTTTCTGAACATTTCAGACTTCACAACTATATGTTTTCCTTTTTAATGGGGAAAATTATCTCTCAGAGCTTTGTTTTAATATGACCAATTCAGACAGGTGCTTTTTCTTATAACGTTCTTGGAAAATAAAACCCCTAGCCAAGAAAAAAGGTACAGGAAACATCTGAATTCAAGAGATTTCACTTTTAAAAGAATGCTGTATTGTGTTAGTTCAAGTCACTAGATTCACACCTGTATGACAGTGGAAAGCATGAATTTTCTGAGATTGTGGAAATCTCTTCCAAATTATCTGAATCCAGAGATACAGACTAGTGCCATCATCCATCTGTTCCACTCTCCCTTGAGCAGCAGAGTTGCAGTAGCCAGCAGAAACCTTGATAGTGACCCCCATTAAAGTGCATCTTTGCTGTCACTGACAGTGTAGACTCGTTATTGAGACCCACGTCAGCCATGTGTTTTTGAGCTTTCCCTTTCCTGCTGGTCTGGAAGAAGTCACTTGTCAAGACAAGGTAGGTGGCACAAGCTAACCAAGAGATGCTAAGTGCTAGTACAATAGTGTTCCTTTCCATGTAAAAAAATAACCAGTCCCTTTGTTACTTGAAAATACAACATTAGATGAATTTGCACTTTTTAACTGCAGAAAAAAACCCCAACAAACCATCATCTCATAAAATTAGCAATACTAATACATACGTATTTTTTGTAAAACTTACAGAAATGTCAAGTCTGATCGTAATTTCAAAGCAAAGCAAAACAAATTAGAATGGGTTATATGGCAGGAAGTAAAATAATGAAAAGGTCAATCTAAAAAGAGGTACAGCCCTTTAAAAATACAGAACACTTGACTTTTTATTAGCCTCCATCAAACTAAAGATGTTGCTAGTCAGATCTAATACCCCTATTTACATAACAGACATTTCTTCAATCACTGCAAACATTTTCACATTTCAGAATCTAGGTTATCTGTTATTGCATGTAGCAAAAAAGGCCAGACTTTACATTTAAGTCATCATTAGCAGAGCAGGTGAGCTTACATTAATGTTTTATACCTATTATTATTCTGTTTCATGTTTTAGGACAGCAACAGTGCTGGACACTCTGAGACTAAAATAAGATGTTATTCTGAAAAGCTACAGTAGGTCCTCATGTAGGGAAAGGTCAAGAAGAGTTGGTTCCTGTAGTCAAATCAGCTTTGTTTGATCTTACTCAATGTTCTCCACCGGTCTTTCAACATGACACTTGTTCGGTTGTTGAAGTTACCATGGGCCAAAATTTTAGCCCAGTTACCCACTCCAAACTCCTTTACTCCCGATTTCAGCTCCAAGTCTTCTTTTTGAGTCCATTTCTAGGGCAAGAAAGATACCAGATATATGAACAGAGAAAGATATTAATGTGAGAGCTTAAAGCAACCATAAAAGCAAGTTTTCAAACCGCTCTCTAGTTATTAGAATACAGATGTCGGAGGGGTTTTTTTGAGCACCATATCTTGAAACTAGAGATAAACGATAAATTTGTAACTGAACCTGTAAAGCTTTATGGGGGCTCCCAAAGGGCATCTGTGTTAATAAAGCCTTGGGTTAATTGGAGTAACAGGATTGGAAGTTAAAAATGTTTATAGCACATTACAAGAGCAAAAAGAATTGTAAATGGCTGAATCTGCCAGCCTAAAATTTATAGCTTGGTGGAATAAAAGAAAGGTTGGTTTTCCAGAGTATATATAAAACTTCCTCCTGTAAGTAACAGATCACTTCCAACTATCACATGGATAAATGGTGTTGGCTACAGAGCAGAAGGGAGCATTAGGGAATCATGTTATGGCTCACCTTTACAACTGAAACCTTCAAAATTGTAAAGAACTGGGCAGAAAGAGAAATGCAGGTGCAAAGGAATAGTCTCAACTTAAGCCAGCTAGTAGATCTGATAAGTGCCAGGAAACGTGAATTACAGGGGAACAAACATCACTTATCTCCAAAAATAATGTAACCAATGGAAATGTAAATCTTATGGCTGCTGCCATTACACAAATGCATACACTCCTGCTTGTGCACAAAGGGAGGATGAGCAGCAGGAACACCTAGCCAATATGACTGTCAGTGGCACAAGAACCCATGTCCATGGAAATAGGAAGAAAAAATAAATTTATTTCTTAATGATGTGGAAGCCTTCTGGGATCTTTAAAAGATTCTGCTCTTGTAAGCACCATCAGTACAGTCTCTGGCCAGGTGACAATTTTAAGTGCTAAGTGGATTTATTCCAGCTTAATGCAAGTATCAGGGTCTCTCCAGTAACCTCTGATCACTGACAAACCTCACTTAACAGTGAAAAAATTACAAGTAATAGTAGTTCAACTGCATTGCTAAACAGTTAGGAACCTAAAATTTCTCTAAAGTAGTTTACCCTTTTATCAAAAATACTTCCTTTTTCTAATTCTTCCTGTTCCACAGATCTTTCGCAACATTAGCAGTGAATAGCTTTTTTTTCTACTATTATTAAAAGGCCAGAGATTCCATTGGAATAATGTAGTTCACCTCATTTCAGAGCATGCCAGAAAACTTTACTAAATAAAATCTTTATTCAAGTAACACAGTTATGCTTGACCTACAGCACCAGATAATTCAAATACTTTCATCAAAAGAGACAGTCACAACTCTTGTTACTTGCAATGATTAATTGCATTTACTGTTAAAAGGGTTGTTGTTAGCTTATTTTGATTTTCAATTGCTCACATTGAGCTTCTTTAAAAAATAAATTTCTTCCATTTATTGTATAAATGAGGGCCTGCTTTACAGGTAAATCAGGGGACTGACTCATTTTCTTTTCACTGAGGAAGAGAACAGAGCAATAACTTTCCCCCTGCCCCACTCACTGACAAGCTCTGTCCCCTCTGGGACAGAATTTACGTAGATTCCAGCTTTGCACTGTTACAAGACTGGTTGAAAGCCTGGACATAATGCAGCACTATGCTTGAGCTCACATCAGCACAGTGCCTGGTCCACAACAGCGTGACATCTGGCCAGCTCAGAACACCAGCAGAGCAAGCTTGAGTTTGCCAGGCAGAGTGTGGAGACATTCCCTCACAAATCTGAAGATCTTGTTATTCTTTTGAGTCAGTTCTGCTCTAGTAACCTGTTTTTCTTTATGTATTATAGAACCCTGCTCTGAGTTTTCTCCTTCAGCTTTAAATATATGGATTTTTTTTCCATACAAGTCTGACAAAATTCTGAACACTCAGATTTTCAGACACATTGTTTAATTTAAACCAAGTATCATCCAGATTTTAGACAACTCAAAGGACTTGCCATATATTTACTGGATATAAAATTGAGTACAAACAGTTCCCTAAATTCTGTGGCACTTGCATCCCCTAATTTAGGAATGAGAAAATAAAGTATGTGTCCTTTCAATAGCACTGCAGATTGTTCTATGCAGCTAACTGAAAACACTGAAATGAAAGGCTGAAAATGGGCACTGAACCATTGCAATGAAATGCCATTTACAAAACAAGAGCAAACAATGCCAACATTGAATGAGGGACTACATGGAAAAGGAAGTTCTAGAAGTCAACAGCTCTGACATTCATTGCATTCTTTCATGCATGTGGACAATTTTATAACCCAGATGATTAAGTAGAGGAGCAGATTTATTGTTTAAAAGGCCAATTATCATTGCTTTCTATAAAACATTTATGAGGTTTTAGTGGTAGGGAGTCAGACATAAATACAACAGAGGGAGCAGATGCCTACAACTTTTCTAAGTGTCGAAAGAAACACAGTTCTGAATCTTAAGTTTCATTTAAGCGCTTTTAAAATTTTCAATGCCCCTGTCAGATGCAGTTCTCTACAAATTTAGTCTTTATGTTTCAATTAATGTTGAACTATAACAACATAATTAAGCATACAACTCCTATTTTTTTCTAACAAGATGTGTGTGTAAGCCCTGGACCTAGATACAGTGCTTGTAGGTGACCCTGTAAGAGACTAGCTCAGCATAAAAATATGTGACTAGAAAGCTTTCATTAGCTCTGTGTCATTGTGGTCCAAATAGTTTAATTCTTGATGTTGAAAACAAGCTTGATAGAAGTGTTCATGCTTACCAGAAACTGGCTAACAAGGTACCTATCCAAGTATATGCTGGAATAAAGTAATTTTGTCTTTAAAGGCAAAAAGCAAATCCAGTAAGTGATGCCTATATATATATATTTTTTTTTAGGGCACTAGTTTTATCTGCAGCTTTTAAAGAGATTGTCAGTGATCTAACTATTCCTGAGATTTGTGAGAAAGTGAAAAATTTATAGGGGCTTAAACCTCAAGGACAGATGAGGTCTCATTAAGACCCATTTGAGGACAGCGTGTAACTGAAGATTTAATCAGTACATCAACTTCAGTAAGAATGCTTAAAGACATAGGAAAAAGTACAACTCTCCCCCAGAAAAAAACAAAATAAGGAGATTTGGTCTTCCCTGTTATATGGAAAATGAAATACCAAAATGAACACCAGAAAAATGAAACAGCTGACATCAAAATGGATATATGATGACAACTTGCACTATTATCTAAACAAAAAGATTCCACATTGCTTCCTAAGAGAGATTATGAAGAGGAATCCAACAACAGCAATACACGTATTTAATAGTAATTTCTTCAGTTATGATAAAATGCTGAAAACTTATGAAGGAAAATTGGCTATAATAAAAAATTAGCTTGAAAGACCCCAACATCAAATCAACTTCAAACTGCATTCTATTAAAGGCATACACTTCTGCATGTCCCACCAATGGCAATTCTAGCATTAGTGAACACAGTAGGGTTATTTTAATGTAATTCAGTGAAGTAGGCTTACCCATGAAGAGTGTACAAAGGACCATTTGAAATGTAGCATTATAAAAAGACCCAACCATTTGGTTTATAAAAACTAGAGTAATTTCCCAAGTAAATATGTTTTTACATCACATAAAAAATGTATTGAATTATAAAATTGCTAAATCTTAACCTTCTAAGCTGGAAAACGAGTTGCCTCTAAAAATTACCCAAAATTTTCACAGGCAAATGACATCCTGATTTTTTTAATCCAAACTGTGGAAAGAATTTATTTCACACTAATCTTTGGTAATGGTGTATGTCAACAAATAAAAGCCTTGGAAGCATTAGCAACAACAATATTTGAGACAGTAAAAATATGCTATATTTCCTGTCTTTAAAAAGAAAGGGACTGTAACAATTTCAGGAACTGTAGCACTTGAATAATCAACAGAATCTTAAATCTAAGCACTAGATTAAAAAATTAGATTAAAGCTGAGAAAAATATTCTGTGGACTCAGATTCATTTTATCTCCATTTAGAAGAGAGAATAGGTACAAACCTGTCTTTTTCGGCTACATGCAAAAGAAACTCCATTGTTTTCCACATTTTGTATGTCGTTAAGACCTAGAAGACAGTTAATATAAATCCAAAACAGTGAGGAGTCAACATCAAGGCAGCAGTTTTGCATTTTACCATTTACACCTGACAAGAACATACACTAGTTTTATATGCTTTGACAGATTGGGAAAATTTCAGTGTCCCTTTACATTTAAGTATACTTTTATAAATGAATACACATGAATCTTGCCATAGTCCAAGGACTTAAAAAAATAGGCTATTCCAAATACCTGCCATAATTTCTATACAATAGAGCTCACAGAAGAATTATATTTTAAATACAGGTAAAATTTTGTACATAATAAAACATTTCATTTTGATAAAAACATTTTTACGATATGCACTACTCTCATTTTACATAGAATTGGAAGTAGCAACTAATCAGAGCTATGATTCTTTGTATACAAATTCCATCATTTCCAAGTAGATGTATCAGGTTTTAACTGTGGCAAGCATTCAAGGCATCTTAAGAGTTTGTCCTTCCACGTACAAGATGGCCACATGCAGGAACTATAACATCATCTCACTGTGGTAAGAGGGTGCTAATGGTCTTAAGAACTTACTTATAACTATTATATTATCTGTGTTAGGTTTTTAAGAAGTAATACCAGGAAATCACACAAACATCCTGACTTTGTACATTAACAGTGCAATTTGTTTTTCCAATCAGCTAACTTCTTTAGTTCTTTCCCAATCAAGTTATCTAGCACAGAATTCAGAAAGAAATGAATTTCAGTAACTCCTCTGTCAGCTTTCTTTTGCACAGAATACCATAAGTCCTGTAAACCAGCCAAGCAAACCAGAAAATAGTGAATGATTTTGCAAAATTAATTGCTAGAGAACCTTAAGCCCCTTCACAGCATCCTAAATATGGCAATCACCAAATCTGCATTTGTGCAGAAATCATATACAACTTGGAGTATTTTTATCTGCCACAACCATTTCTGTATTAATCCAATCACATTGGATAGCAGCTAGAAATAAGTGTTTGACATGACTGTTTTGAAAATGTAAAAATAAACTAATACTCACTCTGAAGAACTCTGCTCTCTTTGGGCTTCCCTTTTGAACGTCTCCTGCAAAGAACACAGATCTGAAGTAAAAATACAAAGAACTTGATGAAAAGTCTGTGATCAGAGCAATAACAACAAAATTTTTTACCTTGCTATGAGTTTTTTTATATTTCCAGATGACCAACTTGTGATACACTGTTTCTCTTTCACCAATCTTAAAAAGAAAAGACAAAAAAATTATTTCCTAGGCAGCAACTTCCCATTTATATGGTTCAACAATATTTAAATGAAAGAAAATCCTAAAACTTCTCTACAGAAGCAGTGGCATAAAATCACTAACTGCATCAATGCATTCACCCTCTTAACCTTGCCTCCCTATACCTGGAGGAGAAATACAGAATCTGCTGGGTTGGAAGGGACTCACAAGAATCAATGTGTTCAGCTTTTAGCCCTGCACAGACATCCCCAGGAGCCATATCATGTGCCTGAGACCACTGTGCAAATGCTTCTTGAACTCTATCAGGTTTGGTAATGTGACCACTTCCTTGGGTAGCTCCCAAGACATTTAAGTTGAAGATATGAAGCATTTTGTGCTTCTATTTTTTCATTAGGAATTATTTCCATAGGTTTTTTGAACGACTCTTTGATTATATCTCTCAGATGTGTCAGGAGCTGCCCTTCTAGAAAAATAAATGAAAAAAAAATCTTATGACTTGTCTTCCTCTATACTGTCTGCATCAGTTTTCTTAACTAAATGATGCCAAGTATTCCAAGTAAAAACAAAGAAATACAGACTCTATCCCAGCTAAAGCCATCAATTTATTCTCCCTGAACACGTGGAGATAAACCTAGAATATTAGCATTTTCCAAAATAATAATGTAATTGTTCTGAAGGTTTGCACTGTCAGAATCATGAAGCAATGTAACTATTTCCCTTCACACTGGTATCATTAAGGTGTCAGCTATAAGAAAACTGTAAGACTGATTCCATTTCCTTATTCTTTTTCTTCTTGAGATGACCTATAGCCTGAAATTAGAACTAAAAGGAGTTCAATCAAGCATTAAAAAAGCAAAGTCTTTTTTGTGCTTATATTATTATAGACTAACAGATGTTTAAACTGCAAATTGTGCAACCTCACAAATAATTAAATTTAATGGCAAGCTTTTTCATGTAAATGCCAAAAATAACAACCACAGAAGAACACAAATTTAAAGAAAATAGGGAATATGCTTGTAGTAATTCTCTATTGGATAGCAGTTTGGAATTTAACATTCCCCCTTTTACCTACTCTTTGATCTACAAATTTCACCTTACTGTCCCCAAGCACATCCCTTAGCAGTATAATATTTAATACAAACCTTTGCTTTGTTTCCAAATCACTTTTGCCATTTTCATTGACTTCCACAGGTCTGTTTTGCAATGTTGTTGCTCCCAACCCTTTGGATGCCACATGTTTTGTGGCTTCCTGTGAGAAATGTAATTGATATATTAAAATTAAAGCCAAGCAGTACCTAGATAGGAGTTTGCACTAAGATTAGTATGCATACTTTTTATTAGAACTAGCAGTGCTTATTTGACAGACATTTCAGAGTTATTAACATTAAAGTAAGTAGTTTCAAAACAACTTTAGCATGTTAAGTTGAAATCCATAAAGATCTTTATCAACTAAATAACTTGGAGAAATTTTAGTCATATCTGCAATTGATTTTTATATGGACTCAAAGAAATACAACAAATAGTTGCATAATGAGTGAACTTAAAAATGTGTTAAGTAAATTGCAGAACTTAACTAAGACTGCAAATACTATGAAAGTACTCCAAAATCTGGTTTTTATAACTAGGTTAGAAACTAAAACTGGCAGGTGCCAAGTTTATCTAGTTCTGTAGCACATGGCAGGACACAGCATACATGTAAGTCATTCAAAAGACATGTCTAAGCAGACCTGAGGCTTATAATATAACCTTTTTTGCACTGGCAAAAAACATTTCTAACATCCTGCTTAAATTACTAGCCACAAACTAAGATTATTTCTCCTTCATTGCCAAGAGAAGGAAGTAGTAATTCATTACTCCTTATAGAGTACCTAAAAGGGGCCTCCTACACTGAATAAAGATGGGACAAACTTCTTACCAGGGCCTGTAGAGGTAGGACAAGAGTTAATGGTTTTAAATTAAAAGAAGGTAGATTTGGACTAGATATAGGAAGAATTTTGTTTTGTTTATGGTAAGAGTGGCAAAACATGGAATATGCTGCTCAGCAAGGTGGTTGATGTCTGATCCCTGAAAACCTTCAAGGCCAGGTTGAATGGGGCTCTAAACAACCTGAACTAATTAAAGATCCTGCTTATTGCAAGTGGGTGGGACTAAAGACTCCTTTCAAGCCAAACTATTCTATAATTATACTTCTACATCTGGCACTAGAAGAAAGAGAAATTAGCAGTTAAAGCTAGAATGTTCTTCTCCAGAGAAGACAAGGTGGGAAACTGTGTGCCGCACAGAAGTGGGCATTCCTCACAAAGTTGTCTCCTCTGCGTGCCACAATAACTCTGTTCAAAGTGAAGATTTGCAGTGTGGGTGCAGACAGTAGGACAAATGTGCAGGCATTGGGGATGCAGGCAGTGAGGGCCTTAGGCATGTAGTATGGAATTCTGGGCCTTCTCTGGCACCTCCAAGCCTTTACTTCCTCTTAGACTCAAAGAAAGAGCCTTGAAAAATAAACTTGAAAACTGACATTCAAGTGAAACCAGTAAAAAGTATTCCTTGTATTACACTTTGAGTGTATTTAATAAGTTGTCCAATCTCTCTGGTAAGAAAGTGAAAAACACAGAGGAACTTCAGGATTGTTTATTTAAAATTTGCTTCTTATTACCTTTAGACGTCTGTGCTTTTGGAATTGAATAATTCAATATTCTTTTATATGAAGTAAACATAAGAGAAATTCTTTACAATCCTCCTGAAGATGAACTGAAGAAGGAATGTTGTTCTTGCCAATTTTAAATCACTTTTGAGCAAGACTGTTTGTAAGGAACATTTGTATTTACAGGAAAACAGCAATAATAGTTTTCTATCTCCTAACTCCCCTGACATTCCAAAAGCTTTTATCCAAATTAACAGGTCTTGATTTTTTTATTTTTAGTATGGGGAGTCATGTAGGCTTAAATAAAATAAGCATTAAGTATAAAGCTACATTTTTATGGCGTCCCATATCAGAACTGCATCTCTTAAACAGATCTTGTTTTTACTACACTATTGTCCTAACCATTTTTCTAATCAAAACAGTTGTGGAAAAAAACATTCATAGAAAGTAATTAAGAGGCATCTCTTTCCTACTAACTTTCTCCAAGACATATTATTTAAAACAAAAAGGTTGAAAATAAGACAATCCAAAGGAAGGTAAAGTTTCCTTTTCATCTAACACAGTAACTAAATATTGCCTAAACAACCCCCTTGGAAGGATAAATCTATTTAATTGTATCAGGTAATGTTTTTCAAAAGTTTTAAAATACTTTCAACATACCTGTATTAAGAAGTTAGTTTCATTTTCTTTCATGAAAAGTTCAATGTAGGACTTGATTTTACTTATCAAATGACTGTAACTGAAGCTTTGGAGAAGAGGAACATATGGATCCTTGGTTTTAATTATGGTTGCCAGCTTCACCCTTAAAGGCTAAGAAAAGCACAGCTTTATAAACAGGAATCCTGCAGCAAACTTGGTATCTATGCTAAACAGGAAATACAGAAAGCTAAACATGATGATTATACAGTTTCCTGACTATCCCTATACAGCTTCATGGTGCAGTTTGAAACAGTTCTAGAGTCAGCTAGAGATAGTACCAGGTATTTAGCTTATGTGCTCAGTAAATGGTAAAGTGCAACTGACCAGAGATTTACATTTTCATTTCCTTTATGAATAACACTGGAAGCAGGATTGTCAGTGGAGGAAAAACATTCAGAAAAAGCCACCCATTACTTGGTTCTCTCTTCTCATTTGCTGCCTCAGAAAGACTGCCATTGGAAAGTGTGTACAGTGTTCAGGAGAAGGATAACTTAGTACAGCAACATTAAGGATACATCATACTGATAATTAGAAATTCACATTTGTCTGCCAATCCCTCTGAATTTTACAGCAGCCAATATAGCCAGAGAATTATCTTCTGCGTATAGGCTGCATTTATTTATGAATTTGAGTACTATTATCACAATCTACACTTTCCAAACATCCAAATGCTCTGAATGGAAGAGTATGTGAAGAGTACGTTATACATGAGCTACTACTTACATAGAACATGTGTTCTAATATACCAGTGGAAGATTTAGGAAGCATTTTTAACTTCTTTTCATCTACAGTTCTTCTGTTGCTCTTTTCTCCACTCCAGCAAGTTCAAGTGTGTGCAGTAACTATTATATTAGAGAGATATTCACTCAAACGTGCAACTTGCTGAATGATACAGTCAGCTTCAAACCAGGAGGTGGCCTAACATAGATGTTGTATTTTGCAGTCAGAGGCATAATAGCATTCACTCTATACTACAGAAGCTAATGAGGTTTTCTTCCCTGCGATGCTGTGGTACAGAGAACACTAATCAGAGGTGACAAACAGAATCCACTACAACAGAAATCAGCAAATTGCACTACAAATTCTGGGAATTTGATTGGCTATTAGTAGTCAGCACTATCTCACTTCTCATATGAAGTGGAAGAGGGGATGAAGGACAACTGCTGCTAAAAGAATTTTACTCCCACAAAAATAATCCAGTATGTCTATCAATCTCCTGGCCACAAATTTCCTTTTGTATTTTGAAACGACATAGGTATGAAAGTGACTGCACAGACAATAATGAGATTGAAGTTATGCAAGTAGGATTTGCTAGCTTTGCAAACCCACTCCCCTCTTTAACCTCTGAAAGTCAAGAGCTTTTAAGGCAATTTAAATAAGTTACTACCTTATCTGATTCAGAGTCTGTGAACAGCCTTTCAAGAACTTCAGCAGCTTCCTTGAAATATCTGTTTTCCATATGGACTGCTACAATCTACAAGAAATATAATTAAAAGCTGTGATTAAATACTTTCCACCTGAGATTCAGAAAAAGCAAGAGAATTCACAATTCTACAGTTTTCCAAGACTCCAAAAATTCAGATGATTATATATTTAAGGGTCACTGACACATATCTACTTATAACAGTTAGTTCTGAAATTAGTTTTGAAATTTATTTCAATTGCTATCTTTTTCAGATTCGCAGCTTTTGAAACAAATTTTAACTGGTACAAACAGGAACCATATGAGATAGAAAAAGGTCCCCTGTACAGATACATTTACTCTGTACTAAAACTGAAAATTCAGTTCAGTCTGCTAATAGCCCAAGATTTTTGTAAAAAGGGCTCTGTTTTAGTAGGACAGAATAGAATTTTTAAGGTTGGAAAAGACCTTTAAGGTCATCAAGTTCAACCATCAACTTAGCATACATGACCATGCTCACCATTAATCCATATCCTCAAGTGCCATATCTGCATGTTTTTTTCAAACATTTCCAAGTAGATAGTGTCTCCAGCACTTCCCTGGGCAGTCTGTTCCAATGTTGTGCAACCCTTCATGTGAAAAAGTTTTTCCTTATACCCAATCTAAACCTCCCCTGGCACAACTTAAGGCCATTTCCTCTCATCCTGTCACCAGTCACCTGGGAGAAGAGAGAGAGTCTTTCTTGTCCTGAAGGGCCCAGAACTGAACACAGGATTCAAGGTGTGGCCTCAGCAGTGCTGAGCACAAAGGACAATCTCTGCCCTGGTCCTGATGGCCACAGTGTTGTGGATACAAGCCAGGATGCCACTGGCCTTCTTGGCCACCTGGACACATGCTGGCTCTTGTTTAGCTGCTGCTGCTCAGCACCCCCAGGTCCCTTCCTGCCAGACAGATCTCCAGCTACTCATTCCCAATGAATAGGTAGCATCCTGAAGCATTAAGTGTAAGTCACACAGACCTGAATTTGAATCAAGCGACGAATTTGTTCATGAAGTTTTTCCAGTTTAATTTCTTCCCTTTCAAGTAAAGTCCAGAAAGACAGAGCAGATTCCAAAGGCGAAATTCTTTGATCATGTTCAAAGTGTAATCCTTAGAGAGGGGGAAAAAAACTAAAGTACTTATAAAAATTAAAGGATAAAGTTAAATAGATTACAGTATGCAGTAAAGTAACATGTATCATACAATTTCAATTCCTTTTCCTCAATTTTTAGGTGTGTTTAAGAAACATGAAGCAACTGTCTTCTTTTCAGAGACTGGTTCTTCCTACCCTTGCTAGTAACATTACTGCTGCATTTTCAGGGGTTATGCCAGCTAATCATTGTTCACTTAAAATGCCACTCGCAATTAGGTATTTGTTCTGGCATTAATAATACATTTAACTTAGCATGAGATTTCACAATGTTTGATATTGATACTATTAATTTTGTAATATAATCACCATGCTAAGTAATTTGTTTTTTTCTTCCGGAGTCTATCACTATTTCCATGTCTTAACTTTGTTGTATTTGAAGTGCTTAAACTGAGAGGGAAACTCAAACAGGTCAGTGACACAGGAGTGTCACTTAAAAGCAGAAGCGACTCCCCATGTCAGCGTACTGCTGTGCCAACACCAAGGTTTGTGCAAACTCCCAGCAAAGGATCGGTGACCAGTTCTGGCAGAAATGTAGTCTAGCCAAATATTCATCCCCTTAACACTCTCAAGCAGTTTCCCAGTTTGGCCATTGCACACCTGCACAAGTGACTGTGCCAACGTAACAGATGCAGGAGGAGCTGGCAGGTGCACAAGTGGTGTTTTCCCATGGCACTGCCAGATTAATTCAAGATCTTCACTGAACTACAGCCTCACTTATGCCTTCATTTTATGGTATCAGCAGAACCTCTCTCAACAACTTACTCCTTTCATTAAGTATTTTTCAGACAGAAGGTAAACAACTTACACAATACTGAAGAGATAAAAATTATTTTATATCCACTACAATGTCAAACAGTGACATTTCAAACAGAATTATGTGCATATATACACATAACTAAAACAAACATTTTTCTCTAATTATTGTCTCATTCAAGTAACATGAAACTTCATATTGTTTATTTTAATGTAAAAACAAAGTGTTTAGCTCTTAGAGAGCTGAAACAGCCTACTCTGTGTGATCAGTGCAGATAAAATATTGTAATAACTAGAAAAATAGGAAAGCTGCCATATATGAGCTTTCCATGTACACTGTGCAGCTACACCTGATGTTATACCTACCACACACATGCAATCTTTCCTCACCATAGATTATTCTCTACTGATAAGATAAAAAGGCACAATGAAGTCATATTCTCAAATGTTATATACAATACTATAATTTAGAGCATTAGCACAAAAATTACATAATTTGTATACTATTTTAAATAATTTGATGAACTATTTTAAATATTAGAATTTGATTCCCAAGCTAATCTTAGTCAGGATGACATAATACATGATAAGAAACATAGGAAATTTAATTGTATAAAAACAAGACTTTGTGGCATTGCTAGGCTAGAATGCACTTTTTTCTTCCATGCTTATGCTTTCAAGACTGCTTCTGAAGTCTTTAAATTCCAAGGAGTTTTATCAAACAGTGAAAAAAAAAGAAGTTAGTCTTCCAGAAGCTCAAACTAAATCATCTTGGATAAACCAACAAGTGGCAAGCGCAGCCAAACAGAAGATATGGTAGTGAGTAAGAGCCCCAAGGACTTGCTGCTAGCTGAGAGTCTTTCAGTCTTCTGTAGGAAACATGGGCAATCATCCTTTTCACCCATCTTCTCAGTCCTGCTGTCAGTCCTACTTTAATCTCTAGAGTTAAGTGTGCAGAAAAGAACACATATCCTGAGTTTTAAACTTGCAAGTATTGCTCACTAACAGCTAGTCAGTCCTTTCCAGTATATTTCTTCTGTTGATACTACTCTGACAAAAAAACCTCTGGTAATTTAAGGAGTATATGGTCATTCAAACTCCATTCAGGTAAGTCAGCACAGAGTAACACCAGTTCTGCAGACAAGTCAGTCACATGTGTAATAAAGACAGTCCAAAATGTGAAATTTATTCAATTTATTTAAATATAGTTATATCTATAGATAAAAGCATATATAGATATGCATAGTAAAGGCTATGTGAAAGCATATCTAATACACTTCTGTAGAAGTTCATACAACTGCTTTTAAACAAGTGAAAAAAAGAATCAGAGTATTTACCAAGGCTTTTTCCTTGTGCAATTCTTATCAAAAGCTGGCAGACATATACTGTTTTTTTCTGATGTGGAGGTATTTGGGAGAGGCCACTAATAAGAGCTGGAAAAGAAGAGAAAAGTTTAGTCAGTCTTGCTCCAGCACTGCCACAGTGTGGCTAGATATATACTAAACACTGTGTTACCAGATTTCACTAAATTTCTAATTCCTTAAGAAACCAATGAAGCCCACATTCTTCCTTGCTAAAACAACTAAATTAGTATTTAAGAGCTTGACCAGAAGAATATATCCTTTTCTGAAGAAACAGCAGAATTAATCACAGGCTTATATTCATCCAATTCAAAGGCCATAGTATTAAATATAGGGGTTTTTTTGTTAAGTAGGGTACTACAGAAGACAGCTGTCTGCTCCAAAGAACACTTCCAGGGAATGCCCACAAACCACCAGCCACAGGCAGACTGGTAACACTTACATGTTGCTATAGCAACTTACAGAACTAAAGCAGTAAAAGTGACATGGAAAGCTTACTCAGAAATGTAAATTTGCCAGGGAAATCCTCCTTGCAAGGCTAGGTCACAAGGATTATTACATGTTTTAAAATGGGAGCTGTCATGAGTTTATTCCCATCATTTAGGTTAGTGTGAATTTCTTATGCTAATATGCTGGATAGAGTAATTTATCTTCACAGCATGATACAGATCCATTCAAAATGAAAAGAGAACCACAGAATAGATGGGGTTCAAAGGAGCTGCTGGGTATCACCTGGAACCACTGCCTTCCTACCTTTCTGCACTTGCTTCAGTTTGAATTGATTTTCTTGTTGACAGCCAATCATTATTTCTGTAGGGTCTCCCTTTGACACTTGCAAGAGTAACAGCCCTGTTTTTCTATGGAAAAAACACACCTGCTTTTCTATTACAATCTTATGACTGTGCTTAGCTTTTCTCAAAGACTTTTACAATATTGACTTTATAATCTTAGAGTGCTAAACTCTTTCCTCTGTTGCTGAACAGGGCAGGAACGAGTTCAAAATTTGCTATTACTTCTTATTTCCACATGACATTGAATTCTGTACAACTGAATTAATAGTTTGTACTAATACACTCAGTCTTCCCAGGAGATATTTTCAATCTGCTTTTGCACTGACAGTGTCTCTGCTTCCCACCTTCACTAAACTTCAGTACAAGCTCCTGCTGAGTTGCAGTCCAAAGGCCACACATTGAGAGGAACCATAAATAATTTAATCTAGGAGCCCCCTATTCAAAGTACTTTAGTAAGTTATCATTCAATTTCCTACCATATCCCATACCAATCTTAGCAATAATTCTGCATGCCATTGTATTCCATTCTTTGCAGAAGTTTAAACAAGTCGTACTACTACATTCACCTGAATCAAGAACACATACACAAACAAAATATCCCCCAAAGCTCTAACCTGGTATCCTCAGGAAAACTGCTTCTTACAGAAAAAAAAAATCATAAATCCATTAAATTTATCTGAGACGTAGACATTTACTTCTAGTTCTCAACCACTTTCACTCTAAACCTTATTTCTCATTTTAAATGTATGTTTTTCCATTCAAAACCCAGACTCCATTTCATCTCATCTCTGTCTGCCAGAGTATAGTTCTCTGAAATACTTCCAGCACTGCTGTATTACTACCGTGCGCGGGTGCTGCCGATAGCGCCCAAGCCCCCACAGGCTCCCCGGCAGCCCGGGGATCTCCTGAGGCCCCCGAAAGAGCTGAGCATCACCCCCAGCGCTGCTGACCCGGTGGCGGACGGGCTCCGAGCGCTTTAGCGCTCCCCCGGCGCGGAGTGCGGGAGGCAGCGGCCCCGAGGCCCCTCAGGAGCCGCTGGTCCCGGGCGCGGCCGTGGAGAGCCCCGAGCCGCCGCCGCCCCTCACCCTGAGCAACGTCCCTCCACCGCCAGAACTCCGCCTCGCTCTGCTCCGCGAAGTGCCGGCACAGGCAGGAGCAGGCGAACTCCAGCATCCACTCCGCGGCCACGGCCTCCAGGGCCTCCGGCGGGGCCGAGCTGGCCGAGCTGCCGCCGCCGTCCGGCGCCTCCTGGGCCGCCATCGCCATCTTCAAACCGCGCGCCAACGGCCGCCAGCCCTGAGTTTCGCCGCGCCGCAGCCAATCAGAGCGATCGCCCCGCCCCTCCCTCCCGCTGCATCCAATCAGCAAGGTAGATCCGCACGGCCCCGCCCTTCTCGCCGAGTCCCAACCAATCAGCGCGGCCGCCCTTAAAGGAGCTGGTTGTGGTCGACGCGCGCTTGTTTTGGCCCGCAAGTGGCTTGTGGTGGCGGAGGGGGAAAAGCTGAGGCAGCGCTGTCCCGGGTGGAGCGGCGGCTCCGAGAGCTGCCGTGTCCCGGGTGGAGCAGTGTCCTGGGTGGAGCGGGGGCTCTGAGGGCTGCCATGTCCCACGCTTCCCGGCAGAGCAAAAGGCGAAAGGTGGGTGTTTTCCTGCATGTGTGACCCGAAGGGCTTCGCTAAGCGCATCTTCATGTGGGCCCTGGGGAGAGGAGGCTGTGGAGGGGAGGGAGGACACACCAGAGGCTGGAAAAACTGAAAAGTGGGAGCTGCGACTTGGCAGCGGAGCCCTTGACGGTATGTGAAGAGGGACGATAGTAGCTGGAGTGTGTTTATCTGAGAAGGCAACAGTTTGTACATGTTAAAATGTAAAACCCAGGGAGGTAAGTCTGCGAAGGGCTGAAGGGCAGAGCAGTGTTCCTCTCAGAGATGCGGTGGAGGATTGGTAAGTCTGCGAAGGGCTGAATTTAGGGCAAGTGCTGAAGGGCAGAACAGTGTTCCTCTCAGAGATGCGGTGGAGGATCAAGTGATGTTCTGGTAGATCTGGTGCAAGGCTTTGATTTGAGCTTTATTTCACTCCAGGGAGGAACAGAGTGGTGGTATCAGAGCAGGAGGTACCAGCTGATGGGCTTTTACCTCCTTTGACTCCTGTGCTCACACTAAATTGCACCCACAGCAATCTTGCTGTGGCATTAATACATCGAGGTCCAAGAGGCAAGAAGACACATAATTTAACTTAGAAGAATCTTCTATTTGGACAGCTGTATTAATATAGTACAAGACTTAGGTTTGCACTTTGGAAGAGATTGTGACAACTTCTTGCTCAGGAATGAAAATTCTTAGTGTTTGACATGAACCAGGTGGACATAAAAAATGATATTATTATGCATTAATGTTTAATTGAGCAGACATTTCATAATTTCTATAGTAAAAACTGACAGGTAGGTGGATCAGAGCTTGAAATTACCATGATAAACAACAGCAGGACCAGGCTGCTTTGTGTAAGCTCTGCTCAGTACTAGCCAAATCATATTTATTATCATCTCTGTGTTCAGCACAAATCCAAAACAAAGCTCCTTACCAAGCCACTGTGAAGAAAATTAACTCTGGCCCAACCAAAACCAGCAAAACGCCCAGCTCTGAGTTTCCTTGAGGAGCCCATAATATGTGGACACATGGATTTTAGGTACTATACAAGGCCTATCTCTTCCCCTTGACAGTAGAGGGAGCCTGAAGTATTTCAGAAAAGATGCATATCTTGTAGCTGTTTTGAGGTCAAATGACTCTTGTGCTGGGTGAGCTTGCAGCAGCATGAGAAATGGTACTCTAGTGTGGCAAAAAACATGGTTTTATTCTTATGAATGAAGTGGGAAATCAGAGTAGGTCAGTTTAATTCCTAAACCAGTTTTTTCTTTTTTTTTTTTGCAGGTGTTTCTACCAGATCGGACTATGATGGTGGCAGTATTTTTCTTTCCAGTTTTAGCTCCTGTAGCTTCATCTCCAAACCTGCAACATGTTTGGGCTTTCCTCTTAGTGTTTATCTGCCTTTTATAGATTTTAAATTGAATTTTGCATTTCTTGATAAAATCACTAGCTGCTTAGAGCTCCTGCTAGAAATCTCTCCTGCTGATGGATCTCCTTAGGGCAGATGTGAATAGTGTTTAATCCCAGTATAACTAAGAGCAAACACAGGATTTTGTTTAACTGAGAGCATAAAAGTACAAGTTACATGTGATGTACAGGTGTGCATGCTTGTGTGCATATGTATATATAGATATAAATGAATGTACATGTATTGCATACCTATATACGTGTGTAAATATATATTTATAAAAGTATAGGCATTAGCATAGGGAGTTAATATGTTATATTTTTGTCTCTGTGTATACATTAATGTATATGTGTAGCAATTTAACAAGTGCAAAGAGTCTCACCTAAACTTGTAAAATCTGTTAAGTGCTCTCTTTTGCTCCTGAAGACAGTTCAAATAAGAAATAAGACTAATTGCAACACAAATAATCATCAGTATTGTCATATAATAAATGAGTAAATACATACTTAACTGCATCATTATGTAAATATACTTTTGGTCTCCAGACTCAATCAATCTGGATTATTCTTGGTTTGGAGTTGCTCATTTATTAGAACTTCCAGTTTAAAAGGCTTTAGTCTTCTGTTAATTTGCTAAATTTTTTTTGTTTGAATTTATTTGTAGTAAGAATCTTTAAGGAACATCATAAAATTGACAGATCTTTCCTTAATCCCTGAAAAACTGTGCATTTTAGTATTTTAGCTGTTTCAGAATGACACATACAAATTCATTATGAAATCTTACACTTTATTCTTCAATTTCTTTTAGGTGTTATTGGGAAGTAGAAGGTCCCTTTCTCCCAATTTTTATTTTGTTTAAGAAAGCAAATTAAATTATTTTTTCTTTTCATAGATGATCCATCTTAATACAATATTTAATCTTAAAAACAAAGAACTATTGCACAAAAACATCACATACTTAGGTGATTAATATATTAATATATGCTATTATTTTTATGACTGCAATAGAATTACACATGTAAAGAAGTTTTTCAAATTTGTCAATGAAAGCTCAGCAATTCAACCAGTAGATGGCCCCAGCCTAACATCTACCTTACACAGTGGTGCTCTGTTTTGCTGGATGGGTGGAAAAGTTCTTGTTAGAATACTCAGTGCACTGATGTATAAAAAAATAGGGATCAGAATGATGGATAAAGGCTTTATTTACAGCTGCCCAAATTATAGGGTACCCTTCTATAAAGCTGGGAACCAACTGAACATTAAACTGAACATTTAAGGGGATTTGACTTAACACAAATGAAAACAGGTGCATGAAGAAAGTGCCTTTTTTTGCAGGTGGTAATGCACACAGAATGAAAATTTGAAGTAAAATTTAGATCATTTGAAATGCTGTGGGGAGTAAAGTCTGTGCAAGTGAGTAGCTGAGCTGGAGACTGGATCCTGCTGAAAGTAAGACAGAATCAATCTGTAATTTCACTCAATATTGCTATTGGAAAAAAACATTTATCTTGCTATTTAAATTTTAAAAATCACAGGAGTCAATGAAGTTTTCCAGCAGTAATATTTTAAGAATTGAATTCTACTGAGTAATAAAAGGAAGGAAGGATTTTACTGTGACCAAAGCACCAACCAGGGATTTATAAATGCAGCAGTGGCACAGATTATCAACTAATCTTTATCAAATAATTTATTTAAACCCATATTTTAATGTGGAAATAAAAGTGAAATTTATAGAGAACAAAAAGTGTATGTGACAGTAATATTGTGCTGCAGACCAGATGGTTAGAAAAAGCAAGCATCAGGGGGAAGTTGCTCAGTTGGATGTGTAATTTCCTATATCTTGTTTATACACTAATTCCATGAATTGTTGAGTACCTCGTGAATACATATGTTTGGGTTGGAAGCATTGGAGCATGTATCTATCTGGTAAAGATACAAACTTTGAATTTAGAGATTTAGCAGTTTCAACATATGAGGGAGCTAGAAAGTCCCAATAAAATGTAATACAAAATAAAGTGCATTTGTGTATCCTTTCATGCCATGTTTTAGATGGAAACAAAGGAAGTATAGCCAGAATTACTCACTGATTTTGGATGCCTTGGACCTGGTATTTCATAGAAATTCATAACTATAGAGTACCCTCTACAGTTAGAGGGTAGTCTAACTAGTCCTCGAGAATCAAGTTCCAAGAATGTTAAAAGAGGAAAGAAGGATGAGTCCTCTCAGTTTGGTTTAGATGAAGAGCAGGTATCCTAAAGCTCAACTTCTGACTGGATCGCTGCAGTTTCTTTATGATCTAAAGTCTATGAAATGTTAAATTACCACAATGAGAGCTTAAGATTCCACAACCCAAGCTGGGAGTGGATTTAAAATAGGGTATAGAACATGAAGAAAACAGAATTAATGACAATTTGTTAAAATTATGACTTAAATTATTCCAGTATTGTCTTGGATTTTATAGAGAAAGAGAAGTTTGAATTTCTCAGGGCAGTACTCAAATTCCTTTACCTGATAACTATTCTGCAAGTGCTACCTTATTCACAATATCAAATTACTCTTCTACAGTAAATGAAGGATTGGCTACCTCACATTTAGCATCTTCTTCAACACAAACTGTTCACTTTTTGGCATAGCTAAATGAGATGGGGATCTTCTGAAAAAAACCCTCTCATTAAATGACCTGAAAAGGTAATCATACAGCTGAGATGAATTAACATTATAAAAGCAATCTCAGATGTTTCTGATCTCCTGAATGAGTCACTGATGTTCTCTTAATGCAGCCTTTCTTTTGCATGAGTATTTTTAAAATGTGAAATCACAAAGAAGCAAATACAGAATTAAATTCATAAAGATTTCTTGTTGCTGGATCATTCCAGATTTTCAAACACTAATTGTAAAGAACAGAATTCGATATTTTAACAAATATTAGTGACTAGCCAAGGACAATTCAATATTTTAATATTACAGCTTGTTTCAGTGACACTAGTGGGTCTCAGCTGCTTTCCTACTTGAATATGCCTCAGAAAATACTACGTAGAAATGTGACTGGTTTAGTTCTAGAATACATCAGACATTAATTTAAATTTTTAATTCTTTTTTTTTCCTGTGACTTAATAATTCTTTTCATTCATACATGTATATTTTATAAGTTCAACCACACAACAAATAAAGATAAAATGTGGAATTTTTTTAATACTGTACTGGCCCAGTTTGACATGTAACC